AAAGGCCTGGTGAACTACTTCTGAAAGGTCACAGCCATTGAAAACCCTATGGAGCACAGTTCTACTGACACAGTTGGGGTCGCCATCAGTTGGAATAGGCTCAATGGCAGCTCATTGCTAATGAGCAACCTGAGAGTCCTTCATTTCCAGGGAGCAGGGAAGAGAGGTTGGTGTGGGTTAGGAAACAGTAAAGACGAGTGTCCCCTGTTGACCATCTCTGCAAGGACAGGCTTGGAAGAAGGACTCAGGCCTCTTTTATCCTAGGACAGAGCAATTCAGGGCCCCAAACCCAGGAATTAAATGGCAGGTTGAAGCTGGAGAGAGTTCAAGATTCCACCCCAGCTGGAACTCCAGGCCTACCAGGAATGGCCTTTCCATATTCATGTAGGGGAAATTCTTGAGACTAGAGGCAAAGTCCTGGCTCCGCCTCTTATTTTTCACATGACCTTGACACTTCACCTCTCCAGGCCTCCATTCCCCCATCTATAAAATGGGAATCTTCCCATTTACCTCCCAGGGCTGTCATGAGAATTATATGAGTTAAGTCAGTACTTGCTGAATTCTAAGGAGGACACGTGTGCCATTCGTTCATTTGGCATTCATTTATTAGCTTCTGCTGTGTGCCAGGCCTATTCCAGCTGCTAGGAGAGTGGTGAGCAAGACAGACAGAGTTCCCTGCCCTCCTGGAGTTTACATTCTAGTCGGAGGAGACCGACAAAAATAAGATCATTTCAGAGAGTGCTTAGTACCATGAAGTAAATAAAAAAGGGCTAACGTGACAAAGTCGTGGGGGCAGAGACATTTGAGCTGGGACACACATCACTTCGTACCTAGGTCACAGCAGGTCAGAAACCTCCAGGCTAAAGAAGGCAACCAAAGAGCATAGCTTGAGTCACGCCTGCTGTGTGACCTTGGTCAAGCTGCTTAATGCTTGGGCCTCAGTTTCCCCACCTGTAAAACGAAGACCAAGATATCTCCCTCATGGGATAGCCATGAGAATTCATTGAGATCATGTATGCAAAATGCCTCCTATGCAGCATTCAATAAATCCTAGTTACTTATTATATGGAGTCCCTAGGTGGTGCAAATGGTTAACACGCTCAGCTGCCAACAGAAAGTTTGGAGGTTCGAGTTCACCCAGAGGTGTCTCAGAAGAAAGGCCTGGCGACCTACTTTCAAAAAAACCAGACACTGAAAACCGTATGGAGCACAGTTCTATTCTGACACACATGGGGCTGCCATGAGTCAGAATCAACTCAACGGCAACTGATCTTTTTACTAATTATATAAATGGACAATATTAATAAAAGTAACAACAATAAAAGATTTCTCAAAAGAATCCCCTGCCCACCAAAGTGGGCAGGACCATAGAGACCCATGGCTCATGGCTGAGAAAGCAAGTGCTTTGATACCTAAGAGGTGGGGGGATTTTTTTGAGAGTGTTTGTTGCTTGGTTATTTATTTGGGATTCCACTCATGCCACTCACATTATTACTCAGCCTGAGAGCCTGGGAGCTTTTAGGACCAGGTGGTGGACCCTCCCTCTCTCCTACCTGCAGCCTCCTTTAGTGGCTGCACAGACCCCCACATCCAGGCCAGGTCAAGGGACAGTAGTGTCCATTTCCCAGGTCAAACTCCAGAAAGGTGAGGAGCCCAGGTGTGTGTCCCTTCACCAGTACCAGGTTATTTCCATGATAACAGGCATGGTTTTGTTGTTTCTTGTTGACTTTATTTTGATACAATTTGAGCCTTGCTGCAAAGGCAATACAGAGAGTTCCATATACCCTTCACCCAGCTTCTGCAAATGGTAACATCTCAGGTAACAATGGTACAGTTATGAAAACTAAGGAATGACGTTGGTAGGCTTTTACATCTGTGTTTCATATAAAGTCTGGGGAGGGTGGGGCTTACGTCAAGGAAGCCCAGATAGTTGTTTTGGCCTTTTGGGAGCCATTTCACATGCAGTTTTTCATCTGCTCCTGGAGAGAATTGTCAGTGCCCCCACCCTTCACCCCAGGGGCAGATGAAGGAACTGAAGCCCACAGAGATGCATTTTCCAGCAGATAGGGCCAGGCTAGGACTGAAGCCCCTGACTCTTGATTCCCACCCTGTGCCCTCCCCACATCACAACACTGCATTTCCAAGAGGTAATGGGGACTGGCTGAGCCAGGGTCCTGCATGCCCTGGCAGCCTGGAACATGGTGTCTCAGGGACACATGGTGGTACGTGGCAGCAAACTCCTTCTTGCCTGCTCTCATTTCCTGGAGAGAAAAACGCCAGAGAAGACATTCCCTGGGTCCCCCTTTATTCCAGAGGAAGCTGAAGTCCTGGCTGCTGAGCCATACCCCTTTTGACCACTGTAGTGAGGACCTCACAGTTGAGGGGTACGGAAATCAAGGACAGAGGAACTAACAGTGGGAGCTGAGGACCTACCACACACCAAGCACCTGACATACCTCTTATCTCTTTTGACCATCTCTACTCCAGGAGCTGACCAAACCAGTTGTCCTCAAGTTCGTTCTGACTCATGGTGACCCCATTGTTCCATAGAGTTTCAATGGATGATTTTTTAGAAGGAGAATGCCAGACCTTTCTTTCAAGGCATCTCTGGGTGGACTCAAACTTCCAACCTTTCGGTTAGCAGCCTAGTTGCATTAACTGTTCGTACCATCCAGGGACTCCAACCTTTATTCCTTTTATGGATGATGACAATGAGCTCAGAGAGATTAGATGCCTTGTCTGAAGTCACACAGCCCATAAGCAGTAGAGCTGGATTTGGGGCCAGGCCTCCTTGGCTGTGCTTGTCCTATCACACATGACTCCATTCCAGCAGTTACTGGGTCTTTCCCAAATACACCCTGGTGTTTCCTGCCCTCCAAGCCTTTGACTGGAGGTATCCCTTCTCCTCCATCTGCTTTTTCCTATAGGAATCCTACCCCTACCTAAAGGGCTCAGTCAGAAGCACCTCCTCTCTTGAAGGTTTTCCTGCTGCCTTACATAGAAGACACCGCTCCTCCCTCTGAGACTTGAAGCCTTTGCACCTCTCATCCTTTCACAGACATTATTGCCCCTCAGTATCACGCACTGCGCCCATGCGGGGAGACAGCTGGCTCCCTGCCTCCCTTCCAGGAGTTTATGCTCCAACGCAGACAACAAAAGAGTCAGCAAGTACAAACTCAAAAATATTCTGGAAATGGTCAGTGCTGGGGATCTAGTAAGACATGGTGATAGCAAAGAGGATCACAGTGGTGGGCGGGGATCACTGCTTTCGCCAGGGTGGCCAGAGAAGGCCCCTTGAGGAGTGACAGTTGAGCTGAGAGCAGGTGAGTGAGGAGCTAGCATGAGAAAACCTGGGCCAGCCGAGTGAACGGGGCAGAGAGAACAGCAAGTGTAAAGATCTGAGGTAGAGATGCCCCTGCATGCTGGAGATTTAGGGAAAAGGTAGCGATGCAGAGCAATTCTTGCCTGTCTTGTTTCCCAACTTGACCAGAAGCTCCTGTGGACAGGGACCAGCTCCTGTCCCCCTGGGTCACCCCTCACCTGGTTGGGGCTGCCCTTTGTTAATTTGTTAATTTCGGTTGAGTTGGAGTCAATGGTGGGAACTTTGACCGCCCCTTAGTGCCGACACCGGTTACTGACACCAATAAGTAATATCTGCTGGAGCATGGAAGCTGGGCATTGCCGGGAGGGAGGGGCGGGTGAGCCCACGGTAAACTTGAAGGTAAGCACATGTGACGGGGGTTGAAGGAGGACCTTGGACCTGGGAGTTTGAATCCTGGCTTAGCCCTGAAAGCTCCAAAAAGTTACTTCCCCTCTCTGGGGCTGTTTTCCCTTTTGTAAAATGGCAATAATAACCCCCAGTTTCCTGGCTGTTTGTGGAGTTTCAGTAAGGTACTGTGAGAGTGGAGCCTAGCTTACTCCGACAACCTGTACATGTTCACGTCTCTTAGCTTCGTAGAGATGATCCCATGTTTAGATCTTCCTAGGGTCATGCTGGAGCTTAGGGGTGGAGTGGTTAAGAGCTTGGCTGCTAACCAAAAAGTCAGCAATTCAAATCCACCAACTGCTCTTTGGAAACTCTATGGGGCAGGGGTCATGCTTGGTCCTCCTGGGATGGTGGCAAGACAAGCACAGTGGTTCTTGAACCTGACTGCTCATCAGGATCATGACAACTTCCTTCTCACCCCAGGTCTCTTAAGTCAGAAATTCCAAGGCAGGGGCTTGGGAATCTGTGTCTTTTTAAATTCTGCAGTTGATCCTGGTGAGTGGTTTGGGAACAACTAGACAAGTGGTTGAGAAAGAGCTCGGGTCCAAAGTCAGACCAACCTGGGTTTGGATCCTGACTCTGCCTCTTACTAGCTACATGGCCTTGTAAAAACTGCTGAACTCGGTGCCTCAGTTTTCTCATCTGTAGAATGGGAATAATGATAATATGCACATTATACGATTATTGTCAGTGTCAAATAAGATACTGTATATAAAGTACTTAGAATAGTGACTGGGATATAATAAACATTCACAAAAATTTTATTGTTATTATTATTAATAATATGATGAGCCCTGGTGGCACAATGGTTAAAGCACTCAACTACTAACCAAAAGATCAGCGGTTCAAATCCACTAGCAGCTCCGTAAGAAAAAGATGTGGTAGTCTGCTTCCATAACGATTTACAGCCTTGGAAATCCCATGGGGCAGTTCTACTCTGTCATATAGGGTCGCTATGAGTCGGAATTAACTCATCGGCAATGGGACTTTTTTAGGTTTATTGTGAACAATATTTTGTGAGTGGCATGATATCATGAGGCAAAAGATACAGTAGGCCCACCATTTCCCATCTCACTTCATTCATTCATTCATTCCCCCACTCCCTCACTCCATCACTCCGGGTGTCCTGCAGCAGATACAGGAACTGAGAGAAAGCTGTGTGCTTGGGAGCGTGGCCAGCCTCCTTTGACCTCTTCACCTCTGATTCACCTCCCTTTGTCACTTTCTCTTGCAGAATTCTCCTCTCTGGTGGCTGAAAGCTAAGAGGCGCTAACTGCCCTGGCCTTCCACCTTCCTGCCCCGAACACCTCACCTCAGCTCCTCTCGCCGCCCTCCTGCATTCTGTTCAGTTTGTTTATGTTATTTTTTACTCTTCCCATCCCCTACGGCCCTCGAATGACACCATTCTTCTGGAAAATGCTGGAGAAATAATAAAAGCTGTACCAATCGGACTCTATCTGCCGGAAGGAAACAGGCTTTGTCTTCTCAGACATACCTGGATGGGTAGGGGCGGCAGAATTCAGACAGAAAAGATGGGGTGGGAGGGAAATTTACCAAACTCCTTCTCTGCATTTCGATCCTGAGCGTGGTACTCTGTACAGGTTGTCCATTTAACCTTGCAACCATCCCATAAGGTAGGTGATGAAACTCCCATTTTACAGATAAAGACTCTAAGTCTTGGAGAGGTGACGTGCTGTGTCTAAGCCACACAGGGAGGACTTGCTGGAACTGAGATTTCAACTCAGGTCTGTGGATGGATGGATGGATGGATGGATGGATGGATGGATGGATGGATGTATGCATGGATGGATGGATGGATGGATGGATGGATGGATGGCGGGGGGGGTTGGGGGGGTGGATGGATGGATACCTCTGAGATTCCTTTTGTTACAAATGACAGAAACTCAATTCAAAGTAACTTAATCAATAAAAGAATAGATTAATTGGTTTATGTGCCTGAATAGTCCAGGAGTGGTCTTCAGGAAGGTCCCTGAGTGGTGCACAACATTTGCACTGGGCTAACCTAAAAGAGCCCTAGTGGCACGGTGGTTAAGAGCTCAGCTACCAACCAAAAGGTTGGCAGTTCGGATCCACCAGCTGCTCCCTGGAAACCCCATAGGGCAGTTCTACTCTGTTCTATAGGGTCACTATGAGTTGGAATGGACTTGACCACAATGAGTTTGTTTGGTTTTTTTTTTTTTTTTTTTTCGCTAACCTAAAGGTTTGTGGTTAGAACCCACCCAGCAGCACCACAGAAGAAAGGCCTGGAGATCTGCTTCTGTAACAACTACAGCCAAGAAAACCCTATGGAGCAGTCCTACTCTCTCACACATGGGGTTGCCATGAGTCAGAATCGACTTGACAACAATGAGTTTGGCTTTTAGGTCTTCAGGAACAGCTGGATCAAGGGCTTAAGTGATATCATCAGGACCTCATCTCAGCACTGCTTTCTTTTCTGCTGGGTTCATTGTCAGGCAGGCTCTCCCTTCATGATGGCAAGATTTCCCCAGCAGCTCAAGGTGTACATGCAGCAACACTAGCAAGAAAAAAAAAAAAAGGAGCTTCTCTTTCCCACTAGCTCCATCAGTTTTAGTAGCTAACATTTATTGGGCACTTACTCTGTGTTGAGCTCTGTGCTAAACCCTTTCCATGATTCTGTCTGTACAACAACCCTATGGTGTGGGTGCTATTATTATCCTATCGTGCAGGTGAGGGAACTATGGCACTGAGAATTTAAACCATTTGCCCAAGGTCACACACAACCCTGCCGTCAGCCCCAGAGCCTGTGCCCCTCCCTGAATCAATCACAATGGCCAGAAGGATGGGAGCCCTGACTGGATTGTGCCATCTGCAGGAACAGGTGGGGTGGGTCACACAGCAAGCTCATGGTCTGGCAGTCGGGGAGTCGTGTCCCAGCGGAAGTCAGAAAGTGATGGGAGGATGCTGAGTAGGCCTGGGGAGAGGGTTATTTTAGAGTTCCTGGTGTAGGAACTGGAACGGTGTTCTCTTTCTCATGTTGGAAGCCACCAGACCCTTTCACTAGGCTCTGAGGTGTCACCCTGGGCAAGCCATCAGAGAAGGCTTTCACTGAGGGCAACACCTGGGTAGGATCCAGGCTTAGGGGCAGGATGGACAGGCCACCTTCCAAGGTGTCAGCCAGGCATAGCAGGCAGGGGCCCAGGCCTGGGAGGGGACTTGGGACCAGAACTGGGAATTGGGCCAAAGCAGCAACAAGGCCCTGGGAGGGCCACCCTCCTGTGGGCTCAGCCAAGCATTCCCAAAGTCTGCTTCCGAAGGCCGCAGGTGAGCCAGAGAGAGGTGAGTGGGCAGGTCAGTGGGAATATGTGTGTATGAGCAAGAGATGGCTTGCATGAGAGTGCATGCATGGAGGACACATGTGCACACGTGCTCATAAAAACAGGACCTGGGCAGGCCCAGGTTTTTGTGTAGGGTCTGAGGGGGCCCAACTTTGGACACTGAGGATGGGTGGGAGTGGGGAAGATGAAGAGGGGGCCTCCACCTTAGAGTGTGCCCTAAACTGGGCCCACATGGAATGCAGGAGGATGGGCAGGAGCTGGGAGGATCTGACCCAGAATCCAGGACAGGCAGGCCTAGACAACAGCTGCTACTGCCTGCTGGCCTGGAGTGGCCCTCAAGGGCCCACAGTACCTCCACCGCCACACCGAAATGAGAGCCCACACATCGCAGTTCAGACTCAGGGCAGCAAACAGTGCAGCAGCAGCCAAGCCAGGCGTTGGAGAGCAAGACTATTCGACCACTCCTTTAGGGGTCTCAGGATAATGCCTCAGGGCCCTGTTTTAAAAGGATTTGTCTGGAGCATGGGCGGGACAAGGAGGAAATGGCTTCTCTCGGCTGGCAGGGAAAGCCCTGAAGCTCCTGCACAGTGGTTAAGCACTTGGCTGCTAACCGAAAGGTTGGAGGTTCGAACTTGCCAGCCACTCCATGGGAGAAAGATGGGGCAGTCTGTTTCTGTAAAGATTACAGCTTGGAAACCCCATGGGGCAGGTCTACTCTGTCCTTTAGGGTCACTATGAGTGGGTTTTAACCATATCATTTCATTTCCTTCTTTTAACAATCGTATGGGGGCCGCCTGAGTGGCCCTAATGATTAAGCACTTGACTACTAACTGAAGGGTTGGTGGTTCGAACCCACCTCAGAAGATAGGCCTTGTGATCTGCTTCTGAGAGGTCACAGCCTTGGAAACCCTGTGGAGCACAGCTCTACTCTGCACATATGGGGCTGCTATGAGCCACGATCAACTCTATGGCAACTAACAACAACGATAGGATGGTAGGTGGACTCCCTGGATGGTGCAAATAGTTAAGGAGCTCTGCTGCTAACCAGAAGGTTGGAGGTTTGAGTCCATGCAGAGGCACCTCAGAGGAAAGGCCTGGCGATCTACTTCCAAAAGACCACTTGAAAACCCTATAGAGCATAGCTCTACTCTGACACATATGGGGTGGCCATGAATTGCAGTTGACTCAACAGTAGTAGTTACAATTATTACCCCCTTTTTACAGAGCACATTTGCGTTAGACTACTAACCTAAAGGTTGGCAGTTTGAACTCACCCAGGGGTGCAGTGGAAGAAAGGCCTGGTGATCTTCTTCTATAAAAGATTACATCCAAGAAAACCCTATAGAGCAGCTCTACTCTGTCACACATGTGGTCATCATGAGTCAGAACTGACTCAACAGTTTGTTTTTTACAGATAAGAAAACCAAGTGCCTCCTGGGACACACAGCCAGTAAGTGCCAGAGCTGGAGTGAAACATGGGACCTAATGACCCAGAGCCAGGTTCTTCCTCAGCTGCTGTGCACCACACGGGGTGACAGGAGGGTTCATGGGACAGTGGTGGTCAGGGAAGGCATAATAACCAGGTGATACTTACGGGGACACCAGTGGTCATTCACCAAGCCCTGTCCTCTGACCCCTGCCCTCCTGCCTCCGCCTGAACACAGGTCCCACCATGCGCATGGAGGCTGGGGCATGACACAGCAGAGCCTGGTAGCCTGGGTCTCATAGGCAGGAAGAGCCTCCGATTTGGACTTCCGGCATCTCTTCAATTGAGACTAAACCCTCGAGTCGCTGTAACTCGGGTTTGGCAGTTTAATACACTGAGACCTTCCTTATATGGAGGTGGCCTCAGATACTTGTACACATTCCCACGGCGGCCTCCTAGCCAGTCCCCTGGCCCCCTATCCCTTCCCAATTCACTCCCCACACAGAGCTCAAGGGCTCTCCCCAAAACCTAGATCAGATCACATGTCACTCTCTTTCCTAAAACACTTCGGTGGCTGCCCGTTGCATTTATTAAAGACCCGACCAAGCTCAGCCTCCCCACCCTGGGATGGCCCAGCATCTCTCCCAAACCCCTCCATCTTGGCCCTCCCTCACCCCCTCTGCCTTGACCCTTCCCCCTCCCCCTCTGCCTTGGCCCTCCCCCATCCCCCTCC